TGAGCATGCGGCGGCTATTCTCACACCCTAATCAGCCTACCTGTCCCTTCACAGATGTAACTCCCGTCAATCATGAACTAAGTTCGGCGTGAATGGCTAAAGGGTGACTGCAACTTTTGCTGGGACTGAGCTGATGGCGGCAAGGCGCTGTCCAGCTCCAATACAAAGTGGACGGGATTCCTTCCCACACTGCGGCTGAAGACCATGCCATTGCGTTATAAAGGCTCCTCTGTTTAATCACAAGCACAGATTTTGTTGTTGTTATTTGTAAACGTTTCCAGTGCAAGGCAAAGGGAATGAAGCCATGTTTTTTTTCCCCAAATGCAAGTGCATTCAGTAAAGGACTTGTAAAGTTGCCATTTGCCAATTTTCATCGGTTTCGGGATGTTTTTATTTCTGCAATCCTTGTTGCTTTAATCACTAAAAGACAAAAGCGTCTCTTTCTTTTCTCCCTCTCATCGTGGGGGATATTCATCTATACATTTTCATATATTGTGCCCTCTGTTTCACAACAGTCCGCTTCCCAAACCTCGCTTAGACACCTTTAAAAAAGCGTCGTGGTTTACGGCCTGATAAATTAGCTTTTGACGACGGTCGTGCGGGGTGTTGAAGTTGTTAGGAGCGTCAAAGAGCATAGATAACAGTGGATAAAAAAGCTCCCTGTTTTGCCCAGTTGGTTGCGAAACAGTCTCCAACGGAACTAATTGTTATCAGTAAACAAGGAATCAGTTCGGGGGAGAGGAAGGCAGGAGGGGGAGTAGGTTTGATCGGCTACACAGTTAACTGTTTAAGCTACACTCAGAGGTCCAGAGCGAGAAACAGAGGTATTAAAGAATAGTTGCTGAATTATAGACACGCAATCTCGCGGCTCACTCCACGCGCACACAAAATGAACTGAGTGCACTTTAGATTAAAACAAAGCACTTTGTATGACAAAGCCACCTCTAATCTCTCCACTTCGCGGATGTCAGCATATCTTGTGTACACGATAGCGGTTGACCGTATCAGTAGCATAGCACATATGGTGATTTGGCACCTTCCGCTTCTTAGCTACCGAGTGATTGGTTCAATTCGGAGCCCGGGTCGAGGAGAATTGAAGCAAACTTCTCGGCTTCGAGTTTCCGGCCCTTCGTTGCCCGGGGTTCTGTTACTGTTTTCCAACAAAACAGAAGTTAGAGATTGTCGATGAATCGTAAAAGTGAGGGGAGAGTGAGATACCGAGAGAAAGGGACAGAGATAGAAAAAGTCAGGCAGACTCGACCAGATCTCAAAAAGATCCGTGTTGGAAGATAAAGTGAACTGAGATTGTTCAAAT